CTCTCTCTCTCTCTCTCTCTCTCTCTCTCTCTCTCTCTCTCTCTCTCTCTCTCTCTCTCTCTCTCACACCTGCATATCCACATTCACCCTATCCCTGTCGCGATTCAGGCCCTTCGTCATTACCCTGCTCTCTCCTTTCCTCCCAACCCGTTCCCTCTCCCTCCGCGCCGAGCCCCTCTTCCTACCTTGCAACAATCTCTTCTTCCCCACCTCGTCCGGATCCCTCTACACGACCTGGATTCCTCACCCTGTTGCCTTGGAGTTCTTTCCCCTGAAACTTCATTGCTTCCCTCATCCTCACCCTGATTGGCTGGCATCCCGACCACCTCCTCCTCTCGATCTCATGTCCTGATCGCCGCCGCCCCTCCCAACCCGTCCTGCCCATCCCCTTCGGATCCTTGACCTCCATCCTCCTCCCATTTCCTTTGGGACCCTCCTCTCCTCAAACGTCTTCCTCTCCACAACCTCCATCCTCCTCCCATTTCCTCTAGGACCCTCCTCTCCTCATCCTCATCCTCCACCTCTCTTCCCCCCTCCACAACCTCCTTCACGCCGGCAAACTGACCCTCTGCATGCTTCACCCTATCCCGACCCAGTGACTCTCCTTCTGCTTCCTCTGTCGTCGCATCCAATCCAATCCTGACCGACCAAATCCAAATCCCCACACTCTCATCCTCCCGCTCCCGCATCCCCACCCTTCCCCTTCGCCCTCTCCATACGTTGCTTCCCTAAACGTGGGATGGAGCGAGGAGAGGAGGGAGGGAGGGAGGGAGGGAGGGAGGGAGAGAGAGAGAGAGAGAGAGGAGAGGGGGGCTGCAATTCGCATAGGCCGGGGAAACCCACCGATTTGGTTTTGGGGCCGTGTGAACGGAACCCTCTGCCTGTTCGCGCGAAACACCGCTAAGAGAAAGGGAGGGTGGGCGGGAGGGAAGGAGGGAAGGAGGGAGGGACGAGAGGGTGCACTTCGCTTCGCCGTGGGGACTCACCTATTTCCTTTTCGGGCAGAGTGTGAACGGAACCCTCCACATCTTCAGGCACAACACCGGACGCACACTGAGGGAAGGCCAGAGAGAGCGAGCGAGTCACGGACAGAAAGAGAGAGACACAGAGAGAGAGAGAGAGAGAGAGAGAGAGAGAGAGAGAGAGAGAGAGAGAGAGAGGCTGCACTTCCACACTCCCGCTTGCACACAGCTCGACTCTGCTCCGCCTGCCAATTCCTTTCCAGCCAAGGCCGACCAGCACAGAAACCCGACGGCTCAGCGCCCAGTTAAAAAATGCCCGTCTAAAAATCTTTATTTTTTTCAGTATAACTATACGGTATACCTATACCGCTACCAGTAGTCCTGCGGTAGCGATATGGCTGCAGTAATTCCTGATAGCGCCGCCGGGGCCAGGTCCCACTAGCAACATGGATTGGATTGAACGCCTGAACCTAGACGTGTTCCTGGAAGAGTGCAGAAATTTGAGATTGAACAGCTTTTCTGCATCTCTGCGTAAAACACGTCCAGATTCAGGAGCTAAATCCAATCCTCTTTGCTAATGGGACCTCGCCTCCGGTCATCCGTAATGATAATTAGCGCCTCCTTACCCGTCTTCCCCCGAACATAACGGGCCCTGATTCCGAATGTATACAAGCTAACATTCGGGTTCGATGCGGGCGAAATGAGGGTGCGCTATGCTCGGGGGTAGCATTTTCTAAGACTCTCGCCCCTAAGGGATATGGCGGTTGGCGCTTGGGTGCTCTGGGCATGTATCTTCGGGTACCGTCTTCCCCCGAACATAACGCACCCTAAAAATGAATGTTTACAAGCATTATTTCCGGCCAGATACAGCCAAAATGATGAGGGTGCGTTGTGTTCGGTGGAAGACTTCACTGAAGTTACCCCCAATAAGTTATTAGTTCTGCAGAAGGGATGTGCGCATCTGAGTGGCCAACGTGAGCGTGGCAAGGAGGTGTCTACTCGACTCGAAGAAAAAGAGAAAAAAAAAAGAAAAAAAAATCGCTAACCGGCATCGCGTCTCAAGGGCAAGGTCGGCTGGCTGGCTCTCTCCTGTGGGTCAGTGTCGAAACGTGAAGAGAACGAACGCATATTTCCGCAGAAATCCGTAATATGCATCCGTTGCTATTGATAGTAACGGATGCATCTTGCCCTTATCCGCCGGAAGATGCATTCGTTCGTTTTTTGTTTTTTTTTGTTTTTTCTTGAGCGAACTTTGCTTGGTGTTAAAAGGACAAGAACAGAGGCCGGATTGCTGAAAAGCAGGTCCAGCATCCTATCTTGGGTATCAGACTGGAAAGTAGGTCCAACCCAAGAGCCTATCTCAGTGGGTACACCGAGGAACTGTTGAAATACAGACCTGTGTTCGGATCCAGATGATGAAACTTGACGAGTAAAATCGACCACTAATGAATTGCTTGGGGTCGGCCACCTCAATAATAATATCTCAAAAAAAAAAAAAAGAAAGCAGGTCCAGTGTCCTCAGAAGAAGAGATAGAAAACTGGCTGGAAACCAGGTCCAGCGTCCTTTCCAAAAAAAAATACTTCTAGTAATTCTAGCATCCCTGCATATAACGGAAGAAAATCAGGTCCGGCGTCCCTTTTTAGATTCAATGACATAGCTTTCTAATAGCCCTATGGGTTCTGCTGCTCAGTGCCCTTACGAGCTTAGAAGGGACCTCAGACCTTCTCAGCCTGATGGGCTGCCTGCTGAATCCATAATACCTAGGTCTGTGAGTGGGTGGTCCCACAAGAGCTCCGAGTACCTGAGCTTGTCCCTGTCATCGAAGTAGAGGCCCAAGAGTGTAGAGAAGCCCAATTGGGCTGGAAGCGAATCTTGGGAGATTCTGTCGAGCCTGTTTGCTTCATGATTTTGACCCACTCCGACATGATGTCTAGTCTGATAGCATGCTTGTATTCTGCGAAGATAGAGCCCAGGTTGGTAACTTTCTGAGAAAAGATTCGATCTCTCCTAGCTAGCCAGAGCACCCAAAAGGCTCTCACCCAAAATAACTGTGCTATTTTGAGAGACTGTTTGTCACAAGCCTGTTCTGTTCTACCCGTGAAAACAATTCCTTCTGCCACATTAGAGATCCTCCGTATGCTTGTGACCACATTTGTTGTAATCTGTCCCAAAAACCTCTTGCAATGACACATTCCCACCATAGATGCAATGAGTCTTCTAACGCAGCTTGTGGGCAGGCTCTGCACACAGTGTCAACTTCCATGCCCTTTTCTGAGCACCACATCGCTGTTGGGACGCAAGAGTGGAGGTGTAACCCGCCTGTCTTGGTCTCCAATGCCCCTAGTAGTAGATGAATGAAGCAGGTAACCCATCTAGACTCAATAGTCTGTAACCCCAATGATTTACACCTGTTTACCCATCCAATTCTCAGGATCGCCTGCAGCTCATGGCTCTTAGTCTGCAATTTGTACCCAATATTGGATGAGTAGTCTGTGAGTGGTACTGTCGAGGTAACCCCTGTTGTGTCTATTATTTTCCAACCGATTTTGTCCACATCCACTCTCCATTCACAGACTGGTTTGGATTCCACTAATACCTGGAGTTCAATTTTCCCTCCCTGCCCTTTCTTTTGAGTTACGCGGATCCTTTCCCATCCCACCAGGGTCTTCACTACTGTGTCTCTTTGTGTCTGCACTAACCGCGATGCTGAGAGTTCCCATTCTGTTACTTCCACTTGTCCATTCCCTATTACTTTTTCTATTCTGATAAAGGAGGACGTTGTCGGGACTTTCCACCACTGCAGTTCTTCGTAGTCCTGGCTCGGTCTTCTGAGAATATCTCCCCATGAGTCTGGGATAGCTTGTATGATTGCTTGTCTATTCTCTTCGATCCTGCGCAGATTTCCTAGTTTTGTTCTGAGCTCTTCTCTGGTCTTCCAGTCTCGTGTTTCATTGTCCCATATGTGCCCGATCAACCAGATTCCTCTCTGCATCCATTTCACGCCGAAACTACCTGGAGTTTTGGATGTCAAGAGTGGTAGTTGTCGGCCGTCTCTGATTGCTAGATTCTCGAATAAGCAGGTTGCCGGTACCTCCTCTTTCGTGTTTGGATGCTCGATTGTCGTAGGATCTTCTGCCATGCTTTCATGATTTCCCTCCATGAGGGGGAGACCGTTTTCGATGTGAAGGACGACATTAGCATGGCATACCAAACTGCTTCGGGGTCCCTGAGACCCCAGTCTCTTGCCAGTAACTGTTGTGCCATGTTGATCCAAGGTTGATCTTCTGTTGCCGTGAGGGCTCTGACTGGCCATTTGGACAGCAGGGCTCTGCTCTGTCTCAGGGTCAAGTATTCCCAGGCCTCCATCCTTGCACTTTTCCGTAATCTTTTCCCAAGTTGCCTTACTCAGAGCAGATTGGGCTTACGCTGACAAGACAAACAAGGGGGTGAAAACTATCAGCTGGATATGGGATAGAGTTGGGGAACCCAATCTGGACTCTAAGCCCCCACCTACCTGGACACCCCCAAGGACGGTAGAATCTCACCTGCGGCCGCAGGGGACCACCCTTGTTCCACAGGATACGGTGGAAAGGGCGGGACAGGGTAAACAAGAGGGGAGGCAACTAGGCCCGGCCCCGGAAGAGTACCTGACGGGACAGGGAAGCCTGTCGCAACCAAAAACCCCGCAAAAAAATAAACAAGGTAGAACACTACCCCGGGACATCGAAAAAAACAAGGAAGCGGCAGCAAACAGATTTGCCTTGTTGGCCACAGAACTAGAAGCGTCAGATGAGGGAGGGATAGTGGCGTCGACAGATTTAGGAGGCCCAAATGGTGGAGAGGTAGTAACTTCGGGAGAACAGTCCCCGAACAGTCAATAGGTCCAACAAATCCAACATAGCCGGAAAGAAAACAGCAGGCAGCCTGCCAGTCATAAACAGGCTAGTACGGAAACATAGGACCCCTATGCAGATGTGTTGGAATGGAACAGGAACGGGAGGGACAATCTGACGACCCTTGAGCTTGTACAAAACCTCATCCCTTCGACACTCAAGATTGCAGATTGGATTATGACAAGTCTGCAATCTCAGCATACAGAGGCTCCGACAGATTTTTGGCCCCAGGCCCACGCACAGCTAAGGGGAACCCTGGAGAATAGTGCGATGGTGAAACACATTCTGGAACAGGGTCTGCTTGGTCATATACAATAACCTGTGATACTCCAAAGATTGTTCAAAATCTCTGTTGTACACTTCCATGCACTGTCAAAGGAATTACAAACAGCACCGAACCACCAGCCAAAATCCCTAACGAGCAGCCGAGCAAAGGCGTGGTTCAGAAACAGCAGAATACGGAGCGGCAAGGGGCACGAGAGAAGGTCGCGCAGTCAGAAGGGGGGGAGAAGGGTGTTAGGGGCAGAATGAAACAGCAAACACCTATCCAAGAAGAAACCACCACAGAAGACTACCTCGAAGGGGCTTTTGGCCCACAACCGAKGGAGATTGAGGAACCTTTAATCCCCCCCCCCCCCCCCCCCCTGACCGCGATGGATATCGACCACCAGGATGACATCGATGGCCCCCCGACCGACATGGATACGGAACAGAAACTCAAAATCATTACTGACAGGCTGATAGATGGTTTCCAGGCCCAGCACCCAGGTGCTACACCTGTCTCTTATACACATCTAGATGTGTATAAGAGACAGGATAGATGGTTTCCAGGCCCAGCACCCAGGTGCTACACAGGACGTTTGGGACTGCTCTCATACCCAACTTTTCACCCTATTAGCACACGTGGTCAACGACACTCTGAATCTTCGCTGAAGCTAATTCTGAAGTGGAGAATTTTCAGCATTATTGAAGTCCAATTTTAACGATTTGAGAAGTGCTGAAAATATTGAATGCCCCTACGTTGAATAAATCTTCAAAATATTCAACGTTTGCCCCCCTGTTTGAGTGTATCGAAACGTTGAAGATTCTGAAGATTCTGAAGTGGTGAAAATTGTGAAAATTATGAAGTACCCCCCCCCCTATCCGAGTGTATAGGAACGATGAAGATTTTGAAAATCCTGAAGTGGTGAAAGTGCTGAAGATTCTGAACACCCTCCCCCCCGCCTCCCCCTGTTTTGTTTCTTTAAGGGGAGGGGGTTCAAAATCTTCGACGTTTTCACCACTTCAGAATTTTCGAAATCTTCAGCGTCTACCCCCAAATCTAAGTGTAGAGAAACGCTGAAGATTATGAAGATTCAGAAGTGGTGAAGATGATGAAAATTCTGAAGTACACCCCCCTCTATCTGAGTGTGTAGAACGCTGAAGATTCTGAAAATTCTGAAGTGGTGAAAACA